ATGGTATGAAAATATAGGTGTGTAAATAATTGAGTGACTAAACTGCTAGAGAGTTAAAGAATATTTTGAACAATGAATCATGATTAAAATAATTCTGTGAACTATAATAAAAACTATAAACTGCAAATAAAGAAATGACTCTTAGATGGTGGTTGGAGGTAGTCAACAGGAAACCCTGGACCCGGGTTTCGTGCTACTTGGCACTCGTCAGCAAGGTGTACCTGTAATCTTGAGGGAACTGGTGCTCCCTGGCGGATTCGACCTCGTGTCACCCAGCTTCATAGTCAGAGACGTTACCACTGAGCTATCCGAGCCGTGACTAATCTCCTGTAGGACTGAGATGTAATTACAATTGATTGATCACTGGGTGGTGATCAATGTCTTGCTTGTCTAGTCCTTATTAGTGCAGATCGAATGCTATCGATCATGTTGCAATGTGGCAACCAGTCTAGGTGACTCGACACTGCGGGCACTATGTATTGAGATTTAGATGGTGGTTGGAGGTAAGAAATGACTCAGCTGAATGATTATTTTTAAGAGATAGATGGTATAAAAGCTCATGAAACTGTATGTTAATAAAGTTATTGTGTAAGTGAAAAATGTAAAGCAATAAATTCATTCCATTCTCCAGTTCTTGTTATTATTACTTTACAAGTTTATCAAACAAACAATTTGTATGAAGTTTTATATTAATTTCTAGATATATCAACTAATATTAAACTTACCATCAGACAATTTAAACAACCAAAAAGTAAAAATCTCCTTCTGTGTTTTGGAAAAAGTAAGGCCACGACAATACATATCTCCATTTAATCACACTTAATCAACAGGCGTCTTATATCGATAAAATTTAGTCCCTCCCCCATAAACCATAATCTATAGGATTTGAATCAACAGGTCTATTCTCTTGAAAAGAAATTTATTACATCGACATGCCCTGCTAGTTTGGATATGGTTTAACAACCAATTTTTCCAATCATTAATCTCATTACTGTTTTCCGTATCCTTTATTCGTATACTTTTCTTCACCTTTTGCTCGAGTATATTCTTCACGGTCTAATTCTCTGAACATTTCTTATCACGGGACTTTAATAATTTTTAATGATAGTTATTTCAATGTCAATTTTTCTAAATTTTGGACTAATTCCCATAGTGAAACTTTATTATCACATCTGTCATCTTATTATCAACTTATACTTCTTACTTGTTATAGGCAGAGTTAGATAAAGGCTAGGACACAGGTTTGATCCTATTTCAGACTGATATGATGTATGTTCATTGCAGAGTACTAGTTTGTTATTTCAGACAAACTGAAATTGTTAGTAATAAACACATGTTTTTTGTTATATCTTAATGAGTAGAAAAATTGTATCTCTGAAGTTTCGTAACTTAACTTAAGCCGCTTCTTCAGAGTTACAAGTTGTCAGAAATACAATTTTTCTACTCATTGGGATATAATAAAGAAAAATATTTATTATTAACTGAAGTCATCATTGTATTGGATATTCGAGTTTTCTTATTGATTTTTAGAACTGAAATCGAACAGTCTCTTTTGATGTATGTACATTTTATGTGGATTGCCTTGAAATTATAAACAGAGTAAGATAACAGCTAGTGATCGATTTCAGAGTTAGCCAAAAAAGATACACATATACTGAAAGTGACTAATCCCTTGCATTCCTATATATGAATGGAAGGATTCAAACAATCAATATAAATGAATGCAAACTTATTATAATCAGTTATGTAATCTACTTGATTATTATCATTAACGCATAGACTTGTTTGATTAGTTTAATATTTTTTTGCATACTTGCATAAATATTAAAAGCTGATAATCGAACTTGAAAATGATATTGTTCGTTTGCATATGTCATTCTATGATCAATGAGCTTTTTGCTTGTGAAGAACAGAATACAGTTAATTTCAAGAAATAAATAAACTATACTACCGTGATATACAATAATTCATTGAAATAATATTTTTTTAAGTAATAAAGAAATACTGTGTTGTGTGATACGTATATCGACATAAGTAGTATATGATACTAGTCGTGAACAAAATGATTGGCAACAGAGAGACAAGAGGATCGAACGGTAAAGAATCGAAACAGAATGCAATTTGTATGAAAATGAAAGAATAATGAAGTCTGAGTCATTTTAAAACAATTGATGAACATTTTGCAGATTAAGCGTCTACCATATGCTTATTAGATTTTAATAACAAGTCTTGTAATTTCGTGTTAAATACATTCGATTTTATCCTTTGGTGTTTTGTTTACTACAATACTGGTGAAATGCTAATGGAAATTTTAATAATGTCAGTATACCAGAATGGGTTTTGTGGAGATTTTTAGAACTTTCTCAGGTTGAAATTATGGGTCAATTGAAGCTAGACCACTATGGAAAACCTGCAAGCACTGGACGGCCGTTTCGTCCTAGTATGGGACTCCTCAGCAGTGCGCATCCACGATCCCGAACACCACGGGACTCGATCCCGGGATCTACTGGTTTCGCGCCCGAGCACTTAACCACTAGACCACTTAGCCGGCGTCCAACAGTGTTAATGTCTAACTTCAACCAGTCCACCAAGTTGGGCCACCGTACATCATTGTCTTCAGTGAGCTGATATCTCACAACAGACTTGGTTGAACCCCACTGGTAACGGCTTCTCACTAGAACTCCAGAAGTATCTCCTGAAGTCAGTCATTAGTGAGCAGTTGATTATTATCAGAATGGGTTTTGTGGGGATTTTTAGAAATTTCACAGGTTGAAATCATGAGGTTCTGGGTTCGGATCCCATGGGATGCGGGATCGTGGATGCGCGCCGCTGAGGAGTCCCATACTAGGACGAAACGGTCGTTTAGTGCTTCCAGGTTTTTCATAGTCATCTAGATTCAATTGACTCATAATTTTAACCAGTAAATTAGATACATGAATTCCCTAATGGTCAATTCTTATTGAAATGATACGGCTGGAATCATCAAAAAATTAATGTCTATATCAAGTATTCAATTCTTTTTTATTCAAGGTGATCAATATTACGGATCATACAACATAGTATTTGCTATTATCAACTGATCTATTAGAGCGAAGATATGTGTTTGACTCCGATAATGGATGACACAAATTCAAATCTATGTATGATTATAAATCCCTTTAAAATTAAAGGTAGAGACTACTGGTTAGTGTATAACAGTAAAAGGCCAGTCTTAATCTTTGAAACTATTAGTTACATTAATGTAATATCAAACTGATATTGATTGGTATAACCAGAGTACTTCTTTCATGTTAACTAACGTTCAGTTGTTTTAAAATGATCACTAAGAACTGTATTTTCAAATTATTTATAAATAATACGAACTTATGAAATAAAAAGATTTTTCAGATCAAGTTTGTTTCCTCACTGTTTCATCAAAAAATAAAATAAAGTAAATTCATCAAATAGCATAATTTTTTATATTAATGAGAAGAATCAAATTTTAATTAGAAATAAATTAATTTTTATGTATACAGTGGGGTATAAGCTTTTAGTCAAAAGATATTTTTTTGGTTGAGATCTTGAACCGATTGATGTTAGATCACCATGGAAAACCTGGAAGCACCGGACGACCGTTTCGTTCTATCATGGGACCCCTCAGCAGTGTGCATCCACGATCCCGCTCGCGGGATTCGAATCCAGGGCCTTCAGCCTCGCGCGTGAACGCTTAACCTATGGATTTATCCCGTGTTGGGCAGAGACAGGTATCTACCTCAGATAATGGAAGATGGTCGTGCAATTTCGTGGATCGGTTGGGGTTAGACATTAACACCGTTGGATGCCGAACAGCTCAGTGGTCAAGTAGGTTAAGCGCCCACGCGCAAGACTGAAGGCCCTGGGTTCGAATCTCGTGAGCGGGATCGTGGATGCGCACTGCTGGGGAGCCCTACAATGGAACGAAACGGTCGTCCAGTGCTACCAAGTTTTCAATAGTGGTCTAACATCAGTCGGTTCAAGATCTCAATCAATAACTTTATAATCTTCACAACTCTATGCTGATTTTTTTCTTAAAATGAAAGTGAAACAATACAAACTAATAACTGATAATAAAACTTCAATAAATATATTTTGCGCATACTACAAGATAATTGTTAACTGACTAATTATTTCAAAAAGTTATTTAACCGCTTAATCAACTTATATTATTAGAACAACGTGTTCTCTGTATGATAGTAGGAAATTGTTCTGAAAAGTTGTACCGTTTTCTATAGTATAAAAGTGGCTTTTGAAAAATAGACATTCATTAGTTACTAGTGTTTGATCATAGATTCCTTTGGAGTATTTCTCAGGAATATTAAAGCCATTTAGAAAGCATTACTGAGATTAGATGTAAGGTGCCAGATAAAGATGAAAAAATGATTGATAAGTTGTTGAGTCTTTATTTGTATTTCCTGTGGTGTTCTGGATATGTATTAAGCACACCCAATTGCCAACTTTGTTGATATGAGTAGTAAGATGTTGTAGAAATAAGTTGGGAAAATATCTAGGGGCAGTAAAAGTGATATATAGTATCAGTTCATGCATTTTTTTGGAATAAACCATGTAGGTTGTTAGCAACACTATGTTTAGAATCCATACAATTATCTTAACCAGTGGTTAGATACTTTAAATGATGTGCTCAGAATGGTTTATAATGAAGTAAGTGTATTCACTCTTCGTTCGTCCTTAGATCTTAGGTTTCCAAATTGTTTTTAGATTTCTAATTTCATGAATTCATATTTCCTCCTCTACTTAATTGTTCTATGCCTAATCACTTTTAATACTGATGATACTGTTATTATTTCTACTAATATGACAACTTAATATGCTAATTTAATGTAATAACTTGAACGAATGTACATATGTAACAAGTTGTACGTTACATAAAATTGATTGACTTAGAACAAAAGTGAATTGTTTTGTTTAGTTTTTAAATATGATTTTTTAATAAATATAAAAAAGTGATTATAATTCTTTCTTACTTTGATGGTAGTTCTTCTTCACCATCTCCTTGACCTGGCAAATCAATATGAACCCATGTCGATCGTTGCATAATTGGAAGCATTTTTGAATGTACCACAAATTCTTCATATTGATAGTCTAAAATTAGTAAATAAAAGATGTAGGACAAAATAAATGAATGCTTGAGTATATATATTTACTATTTTATTTCTTTGCATTAATTTCAACAAAAAGGTAACTGGTAATGATGACACTATCCGATGAAATAACTATTGTCCATCATCAACTTCAGAATAATATAACGGAACTATTCTTAGCAACAGAAGTGTAACGAATGGATGTTATAAGAGCAGTTCATAGATATTTCTCACATTTACCTTAGAAAATCGAGCGAAAAGATAAAGGCATCGGGTCGGTATTTTTAAGAACAAGTTTATTCTGACTCTACATTCCCTATGTTAATGCTTAAATATCATTTTATGTACAAATTGTTTCTTAACAACAAGGGTTATACACAAACAAACAGATCACTGAAGATAGATTCATGAAATGAACTAGTCCAGAACAACTAAACGTTTATTGCTTTCGCTTATTTTGGTTTGTTGTTTTATGTGTCTTCCAGACAGAAAAATAACCTAGTTAGTAAATTTTTTACTCATGTCTTTATAGTTAGAAGTTACAAAACATGGATTTACAAATATTCAGAATGATAAATACATAGTTATTTAATAAATTCTCGGAAAAATGTGTCTGAGATGAATTCAGCATTCAATTTATGTAAATTTAAGAATCAAGTCGAATTTCATCTCTCCGCCTACAGGAAATCAGTAACCTATAGTTCCGTTTGTCTGATTGAAAGATACAAAAAATACCACTTCAATACATATTTTTGATGTCATCAATATATAATAAGGTATTATTAACATGTTGTCTAAATAGTACAAAATAATCAAATTCAAGTAATATATCAGACTACACAATTGAAAAAAAAAACAGTTTCCACCAGTAACGTTTGTTTTCAACCCAATAATAAATTAAAATGCTCTTGAGATATTATTGGAAATTATTATTAAGAACAGGATATGTGAAAAACCTATGTCGTGTAATGTTTTAAGTATTAAAAATGACAACATAAGCAAATAATATTATATACATATTTTAAGTTTAAGTGAATATTTTCAACACTGAGAATCAGACATTGTAGTTGTCTTTTATAAGTAGAAATGTTTACATTCAATTATGTATTTTTATGTAGTATAAATAATACTAGATAGCCATTTTGCTTTAATGACAGATTCCTCAACGAGACTTATCCACAACCAAGGAAAGAATTGAATTCATTATTTTCAGATCTCTTGACAAATCCTTAACTTTCAAAATACTTGATCAGCCTCCAATAGTTTGTACTTTTTAACTTCAAGCAAATAGCGATTTTGATAAACTGTTTTCCAATGACATTAATAGATGTCTGCCTTAGTCCCAAGATGGTTGAGTGAATATAGAAATCGAAACAATCGGATTCCGGATCAATGGTTTTGAAGGTAATACCTTGCCGCGAAACTTAAAGGTCCATTACGGTCATTTAGACTTGTGAATGTGTACAGCTAAGAAGTCATATACTAGGAAAGAACAGTTATCCAGTGACATCCAGATTCCAGCAGTTATCTATCTTACGTCAGTTTGCTTAACAGTCTTCACAAGCCTTCCGCGTAAATATTGGATAATTTAATAGACTACTAGAATTTTATGATTAGACGGGAAAAAACTAGGTATAACTGGACAATTTTAATTAATTTCGGATAGTTTTATTAAAACCTTCAACTAGTGGCATTTAACGTTTTCAAAACGTTGATGATCTCATTGGGGACTCAAATTTAATATTTTCGCTTTAACACGCAATTGTGTTGACGGAATCAAATCTTACTCTTAGTACTCTGGTTTAGATAGCCATAAAACCTTAATAGACTTAAAATTTCAGATTTAGCATATAAATATAAATACAGTTACTCAATTCTTGACAGGTTTCACCCATGAACAAGAACGCGAAATTGACACTTTGTTAACTTTGAGTATATCATCAATTTGCACCAAAAATTCAACAGTTTATTAAAAAGCAACTTGTTAGTATGCAGATTCAATAAATGTGATAAGTCTAAAGACTATTTTTTCACAAATAAGTTTCAAATTATCAAGAGAAAGCTAATAATTCAACTTGAAAATAAGACTTGATTGACTTTAGGTTTCATACAAGTAATAGTTTAGGTTAAATATAGAGTAGAAAGCCCTAATCAAAAATCGAATATTGAATCTCACACTAGTCAGCACTTTTATCACACCTAAATGTATCTGAATTTAAGTTAATTCTAGACTATAAACAACCTGCTTAGACTGTATAATAGGTCAGATCCCCATTAACAATAAATATAAGTAGTATTATTACCACTATTGTTATCACCACTATATTTACAGTTTACATATAAAGTACTGTTTCATAATAAGTAAATAACTTTTTCAACTGTTCTCATGATTAGAAAATATAAAAACGTGGTCAAAATAAAGCACTCCACGAATTACAGTATTATTCGTAAGCGCGACTAGGCTTGTATACATGACATAAACCTGCATAAAAATGTCGATTTGCAAACTAGTAAACAGTTTTTAAAAGATATCCTACTATTGGTAATGTTATTATTATCATTGTTAGTAGACGTCTTATAACTAAACCAACATTATTAACCAAAGTTTACACATGTTCACATCCATAAGGGATTCAGATAATACAATTTATAACATTTTTCTTCTGTCGAAACTATTGCATAATATAAGCAAAGATGGATAGTGGCTAGCAGTGGAATCCAGGATGCGCGTTTCGCCCTGTTTGGGACTCGTCAGCTGAACGTACCAGCACCTCAAAGTTGATGTTCACTCCGGGATTCGAACTCACTACCATTCGCTTCAAACGCCATCGCGTTACCTACCTAGCTACTGAGTCCTGATAGCCACTTGTTTGTGCAGTGATGCGAAGTTTAATTCACTTGGTATTGTTTTACTTGAATCTTCCCATTAATGTTTTAGGACTGAAATTGATCAGTCTCTTATTGGTATATGTGCATACTGTGCGTATGCCCCGATATTGCTTTAATTTACAAGTATTATAAGCAAAGATAATATAATCTGAAATATACGCACACACATCATAATAATAATCCGGTTGTTTTCTTTTACATTAATTAGAATAGTGTAAAAACAAAATGTGATTCGAAATAGAATGAAATGAAATAAAACGTATATATTAGGCGGGAAACAGTAGCTGTAAAGACAAGTTTGATATATACATACATATATACATGAATAGGTCTATCATTTAGATAAATACCAAAATATACGCAAATATCTTTGGAAAACACTGGACACAAAGAAGATGATGATTACTGATAGAGACGGTGGGAATTATAGAAAAAAGACCAAACATATTGTATTTGGTAGATAGATCATGGATGTAAAATATGATGATGATGATATCATATATGCAGAAAAGAAATGTGGACGAAAAAGCAGTGTGCAAAATCAGGTGAATGAAATTACAGTAAAAATAATTGCACTGGAAAGAAAGGCTAAACCTATTGATTAGTTTGTTATTTATACAAAATAAAATGTATTTAATGATGATACTTCCAAACATTACGAAGTGTTTAGAATGAATTGTAAATAAATATTTAATTCATTTAATCTGTATGTTAAAAACTTAATAAGGGATAAGGTAATTATTGGACTGTAAAACAATTAAATGATAGTTGGTTAAAAAGAGAGTAATAAGAATGTTATATTGTATTTGAGTATATGATTAACAGTAAAATCTGGAACGCACGTTTATTACTAATTAGGACTCATCAGATGGATATACCTGCATCGCTATTTTGGTATCCATACTGAAACTCAAACAAAGTACCTGTTACTTCAAACTAGAGCATGTTGTCTAATGAGCTACAGAGTTCAGACAGTTACTCAATTTTTCAATGAGATTTGATGTACTACTTCAATACAACCTTTTGTCAAAAGCTTCCACTTATTCAGAATGAAAATATAGAATTGGCAACTGATCATTTTCAATCTTACTTATCAACAATAAGACATAAATTCTTACTAAGATTATTGTACTCTTTCAATCGGGCATGCAAATTAACTCTCATTTACGTAATCTTACAGCGTAGTGCAAGAAGTTTACATTTAGATAGTTGACGGAGAGCTGTATAAAAATCTAATCCCGAGTTTCATGAAAACTCATACTTACCAACGGCACATTTTCCTGTTTGTAAAAAGTTGATACTACTTCAAAAACTTTAACTTGAGTTACTTAAATTTATGTATACTTTATTGTGAAAATATTTTGATATGTTTATGTTTAAATATTAAAATATTATCATCTTAATTACTTATGGTGTTGTAATGAACAGAACACGAGTGGGGACAGTCGAATGTATTTAACAGGAAATTACAGGACTTGTTAATAAAATCTAACAATCATATAGTAAACGCTTAATCTCGAAAATGTTCATCAATTGTCTCCAAAATGACTCAGACTTCATTGTTCTTGCATTTTCATACAAATTGCATTCTGTTTCCATTCTTTACAGTTCGGTCCTGTTGTCTCTCTGCTGCCTGATATTTTGTCCACGACTAACCATATACTACTTGTGTCTATATAAGTAGCACACACAGTGTTAGCTCTCTGCTGAATTACGACAGCTAAAAATTATTTACCTAGTGTAATACAAATATTGTCCGTTCAAAAACGTTAGTATGACTCCATTATTAAAACTGGAATAAATGTATCAGTTTCAGACAAAAACTTGACTTGTTCAACAAATACTTCGATATAATCTTTATTTACGCTGTGATAATAAAAGTAGCCGACACGCTGTTCGATTCTCATTGGGTGGTACAACAACACTTGGATTCAAGTACATCCGACTGATGAGTTTCTGATGGTATAAAATATTCCATTATTAACCAGGCATTTAAGATATACACAGATAAGTGAAGGTGATAGCAAAGCATTCATTGCTGGGAGAAATTGACCTTTTAACAAACAGATGGAAAAGCCACTTATATATATATATATATATATATATATATAT